GACCTCGCTGCTCCTTGGGTGGCTGCGAATTGCGCAATTGTCAGCACTTTCGTGGGCTCCTGCGGGGTCCAGCGGAGTCAGGGCCACGCACACCCAGATGGGACCTCGTTGCTCCCTGGGTGGCTGCGAGCTTCGCAACTGTCACCACTTTCGTGGGCTCTTGTGAGGTCCGGCGGAGTCCGGGGCCACTCGCACCCAGCCGGGACTTCGCTTCTCCCTAGGTGGCTGACCTTTGTCAGCGCGCGGTGCTCTTGCATCACAGAGCGCAGGGCGCTGAAGCGTTACGTATCGCATGGCGCTGTCCTCAGTGGCCCACTCTTCCCCCACTCTTCAAGCGAACCGATCAGATATAGCGCTTTGCGATGTTACTCTCACCAGCGTGTCTCCCTCTTCCCTCGCAATCCTCATTGTCCTCCCCCCTCCTCCAGCTCTTCATCGTCCACTTTTGTCCCCCGTTCCACGTTGCGCAGGTATGCGACGTGCGTGTCCCGACATTGTTTCGTTTTCCTGGATGGTGTGTATGTCGCGACGTGCTTTGTTCTCTATGGTCTATGGAGCGCTCACACGAATAGATGCCTCGCGTGCAGAAGGGGTTGGGCACGTCTCGGTTAATACAAATAGAGGCGCCCGAGAAGAAACATAACAACTAGTTCCCTGGAGGTTTGAAGACAGCCGAGGTGGTTTGAAGGGGAGCGGCTCCAGAGAGATCTGGGCCTGTCTGGGTGATTCTGGGACGGAAGAGGTGGAGGAGGAGGAGGAGGATTCTCATGCAGGGAGCGTGCTTCTCTTCTGGGCTCCACCCTTGCAGTTGTCTTGGCACCCTCTCCGTCTTGAAGTATGTGTGGGGCGAACGAATGTCGGCCAGAACCAATGTTCCCCGTAAGTTGTTTTTTTTCCAGCCGCGTGAAAACTTCATGGGTCCATCTTGATAGCAGCTTGAGAGTAGAAGGTTGAGGGGGATGGGCAGGAGGAAGAGGAGGAGGGAGAGAAATAGGAGGAGTTGAAGGAGGAGGAGGAGGAGGAGGAGGAGGAGGAGGGAGGAGGGAGGCAGGACCAAAGGACAGGAGGCGGACACGTATGATAAGGAGGCGGCATTTGCGGATATGTTGTCGTGAGAGGTTCTTGGAGTCCCCGTGGGATGTGTTTGGCCCCTCTTGTGGTTCTCTCTGTTCGGGGTCTTGGAGACACCTTGGGACTGTCTGCGGTTGTCTTGGGAATCTCTGTGGCGGATCTTGGGTCCCATGGCTCAACAGGGCGAAAGCTTCCATTCAGCCCCCCCCCTCTGAGGCCAGGCAGAAGAATCGCCTCTGTGAGTCCTCTTGGGGCGCTGGTGGGGTCGTCTTGGGGCCCTCTTGGGGCTCTGTTGGGCCATCTTGAGTCCATCCTGAGGCCTTAAAAGCCAATCGGTAGCGAAAAGGCGAGAAGGCAACAAACATGTCCTTTCCCCATGTGTTTGAAGGATTTGGGCCTCTTGGGTGTCCTTGGAGGGCTCCGAGAGCACTTAGAGCCTTCTTGTGGTCATCTGAGGGCCTCTTGGAATCATGATGGTCGCCATCTTGAATCATGTTGAGCGATCTTGAGCCATCCTGGAGGTCATCTTGGAGCTTCGGAGGCCCCCGGGGAGCCATCTTGTGCGATGAAGACCCCTCTGACACATCGGTCCCCCCCCCTCCCCGATCAAACAAGAAGAAATGGAGGGGGAGGGTGTCCCTCCCCGAACGAAGGAGGGTTTTGGAAATAATGGACTCGTGAGACCACCTGCGCCCAAAGGGCTGGTGTGATTTGCTTGAGGTTCGGTTCCCCCTTGGCAGCTCTGTGCTCACACTCAGCTGCCAGTGCAGTTGCACGAAGATTGGACGCTAAGTGGCGCTCAAATGGGCTAGGCACACCCACATCACTGAAATTTCATGCGTTGATCTCTGGTGGGAAATGTGTTTTGATATCGGGCAGTTGTGTTTCATATTGAGTGCAGTTGCGCGAAGACTGCCACGGCTCCCAAAGACAGGGTTCACGGTAGGCTCGTGCCCCTTTTGTTCGCCCCCGACGCCGGCGCGGTCGTTCAAGGTTTACCCCCAGTGGTGGATGTCGTTCGAGGTGGGACGGCCCCCCGCGGTGGCATGACAATTCTTCGTGTGGTTGGTGTATTTTGTTGTACCGTCGGGTTTCTTACATTCGGATTTGTTCTACCCTCGGAATTGTTTTTATACCCTCTGTTTTTTACACCAGAGGCCCGTGTCATGAACAGCGGAGCTCGCCGGGAAGGTCCACGGGCAGGGCTCGTTTCGATTCCTCCGATTCGATTCGATTCGATTCAGATGAATCCCGATTCCGATTCGATTCGACTTGGGAGTCCGATTCGAATTCCGATTTCTCAATGGAGACCTACTAGTCTGCCGATTGCCGCCGATTCGACTTCTCCCGACTCGGCTGCCGACTTCTGCCGATCCGAGTCATTTCGATCGCCGATCCGATGTGTCGATTCGATTCTGGGCTCGTCTGTTGGGGTTCTGAGGGCCCCAGAGGGTACAGAGTTCATTAAGCATTACACGGCCCCTAGACCTAACAGCACAATGAATTCTAGACGCTTCACGTAACCCCACTAGTGGCCCGCGCCCGGGACTTCCGACTCGCCGTGTGCGCTCTCGCCCGCGGCCGCGACCAAAAAAGTAACCCCACTAGCGTCCACGGTTCTGACGGCGGCGCCCGCAGTCCTTCCCCGCTGTGTGGCTCGACCCCGTGGTGTGCGCTACTGGTCGCGCCGCCCACGTCGTCGGCGTTAGCGGGAAGTTGTGGCTCTCGTTGGCCCGATGGCCCAGATGCGTATGGGGTTGACTTCCTCCATCGTCCGCCTGGTCTCTGTTCGTCCCAGTCGCCATCGGTGGCCGGACGATTGCGGACCGCACCCCCCTACAACGGGGCTTTGGTGTGCGACTTAGGTTGCGCCACCACCCGCTTTTGCTGGACCATGGCGGGCATTTCGGGCAGTCCGTACTCCGATTTGCCGTCACCCCGGTCACATCTTGGTGCTATTGCGTGCCATTTTGGCTGCGCTCCAGCTTCGGTTGGCCAATCCACTCGCACTCAATTCGTCTACTTGGTGGTTCAGGCCTCCACGGTTCAGGCCACTATGGCAGCCTCTTAGCTTGCAGCGGTTGACCACTTTTGCAGTTCAATTCACTCCCGGCTGCCTGCAGCCCCTGGCAGTCAGCAGCCCCTGGCAGTCAGCAGCGCGTTTGCAGCTCGATGCACGTGTGCAGCCCCTGGCAGCCTGCAGCCCACTGCACCCCCCCTCGGCC